GTCAGCCTTTCTTAGCACCCTGGACCCCTGGCCAGCCCCACCATCCATGTATTTGATGGGGATAGACACACAGAGAAGGTCCAGCCATATTGCGGAGTCCCTTCCTGGAGCCACTTAAATCTCACAGGTGTGATGGTTTGTGTTGTCAACTAGACAAAATCTGGTATTCTCGGCGAGATGGACCTCGGGGAACCCCTCTGCGGAATTATCTTAACTGTGGCCATTGAGGTGGGGAAAGTTCTCTCTGCAGCGGGGATCCTGGGCCGCAGAGAGGAAGGCAGAGCTGAGTAGCAGCTTGTGTTCACTCCCCCTGCTTCTCGACGGTGAATGTGACACAGCCAGCTGCTTGGAGCTCCGGCTGCTTGACTTGGACCCAGTGACGGACTGTGCTCTTGAACTGTGAGCCAGAATAAACCCCTCTCCTTTGAACTGTTTTTGTCAGGGTATTTCATCAACAGCAGGATGAGAAGAAACCCAGGCGCACATGGGATCTACAAGGGCCACTGCGGTGAAGTCTGTGCTACCAAGTTGACAGGACCAGTGGCGAGAGATGGAGCGCACTGTCCCAGCTGGCACAGGGCCTCGAGCCCTCCCCTCTGACACACCCCTCCACCCACCACCCTCCAGCAGGAACAAAACATTGCACAAACCCCTTACTCAAACAGTAGGAAACCTGGACTCGAAACCTCAGGATCTAACAAAAGACCATCTCTCTTTCAGCTGAAAGGGCTGACAGTGGCATGGGGTGGCTCTTCAGGAGCTGTGAAGGCTGATAAGTTCCTAGACCCACACAGCATTTCCAGTTGAAGAGGTGGCATTCAGCGCTCCCATCATACTAAAAGGCATTCAAGGAGGTGGCAATTGTATTTTCATAATTTCCTAGAAAATGGATGCAAGCTTAAGCTAAACAAGGCAAGTGCAATTTGTCCAAAGACTAGTCCCATTGCCAACTGGGAGGAAAGTGCTAACCCCACGAAGAATATTGGAATCAGCACTAATAGGCAAAACATGACATGCTGTTTTAAATAATGCATGCGATCATGTTTTTATTAACAAAGAAAGTCTCGTTTCAAAACACACACGTCCTTGAAAGGAATCTGAAATTAATTCTCAGTAGGCAGAACCCCACGGCATTCTGTGTTCTAATTATAATTACAACCTGCCCTTAACACGGACATTCAAAATTATCAGGCGCTTTATTAAGAAGCAGAAAGGAGCTTTCTGCTACATGAAGCTCACCAGCTTTGAGAGACATCACAGCCAGTTCTGCATAGAGCTGGGAAGCATGGATGATGCCATTTCTTTAATGAATGCTTGCTTGCTTTTTTGCCTGAAATGGGCACACCCTTAGGGGCTTAGATACCATGAGGTTTCAGAACTGCTCTTTCTGGGGCAAGATAAATATGTGCATCACAGAAAAATATCAATTTATCACTGTAATGGTTACATCCCACTACAGAAGCCACTGGAGACTGCTTAACATTTTTATCTCAAGCCTCGTTTTCCCTAGTCTTCAGATGACAAACTGATCCCGATGCCAGAAGGCTTTTCTTCCCATTTGTTCCTAATAAAACTGGCTCGATTCTGGGTTTATTTCCATCTGGGGAGATGTTAAGGTTTGAGCTTTAACAGACTGATTCCCCTCTCCCCTTCTGCATGCTCTTCCTTCAAAAGTGTCCACAGGCCACCTCTGTGCAGGTCAGCAAAGACCAGTGTGCTCTTTGAGCTCCTGTCCCTTCCCCTGGAGACCTCTGCTGGAGAGCGACAGATGTGAACTCAGCAACATTTGGGCTAGATCTTCCTGGCTGCCACTGGCTGCCACAGGCTCAGCGCTCTCCTATCCTGAGGACCTGCCACACGTCTGTCTGTTCAAACTTTTGCATTGCACACACTGTTCTCTTTTTGTATGTAGTGTAGGCACACGAGTGTGTGAACATGAGCACACTTGTGCACGCAGAGGCCAGAGGAGGATGTTGGGTGATCTGCTTCTTCATTCCCCACCCTATTCCCTTAAGATGGGGTCCCTTAATGGTAGCCTAGCAGCCTGTCAGCCCCAGTGACCCTCCTGGCACTGACCACCAGGGCGCTGGCGGGGCTGGGATGTGCAGTCACCCCTGGCATCACAGATCCTCAGGTGTGTGCAGTAAGCAGTCTTACCCATGGAGCTGTCGCCCCAGCTCCCAAACTTTTGCACTGCAGAGTTTTCTATTTCAAATTATTCCTCAGGCCCCCAAATACTTTTTTATACACCTAGGAACTGTGTATCTGGTCTTAATCCTGAGGGTAATTTTCTGAAAACAAACACTTTTTTTTTTGTCGTTATTAGCCAGTTGACAGTTCAAGATGGATTAGATTTCTTTAGTGCTGAGGTGACAGCAAATCTCTGATGCTTCTTCCTGGCATTCAGACCTCAAGCATTCACACTCAACTTGCTTAACTTCCTCTTAAGGGACAAGATCTACTTCAGATACAGAAACTAAGGGTTTTTTTTTTTATAGAATAGTGATGAACAACATTTTTCTTCTTCTTACGTAGAATGAGTCAGACCCTAAAACAAGGACTTCGGGGAATCATCTGGATTAATCTTTGCTACAGTCTCACAGTCTGTAAATGAAGCTCAGAGAGGTTGGGCGACTCACCTGTAGCCACAGAGCTGGTGGAAGGACAGCCAGGACACAAACTCAGATAACCAGCTCCTCAAGCCCATGTCCTCAGTCCTCACAGTCTAAGTTCAGTTAGACTTGAAATGTGCAGGGTCATTGGAAGACTCACAGTCTTACTTCCGTGGTGAACCATCAGGCTCCATTTAAAAAGCCGACGGCTGTTTGGAGATGGGACTATGTTTAAGAAGTGGGAGTCAAGGGCTCCCCACGCCTTTACCTTAGAACCAAGTTTTGGGATGGACGGTATCTGTGGTCAGTACACAGGAGTCCAGAGGGAAGATCTCCAGCACCTGGGCCTTCGTACCTCCAAGAGTGAGTCCAACACAAGTTGAATGCCATGGATGAAGAGGTCTGAGACAAACCTGCCTTCAACTAGGGTGTGTGGTGTGGGGGGTGGGGGTGGGGGGGGGTGTGCTTTGTGTTCTAATGTGTTTCAGCCTAATCAACAAATATGGAAAACAAGCAAACAAAACCTCCAATAGAAGAAGGTGGTTTACACAAATTTCTTAAGTAAATGAGCCTGGAGCCAAGCGTGCCAAGACAGTGCAGGGACAGAGACAGCCTGTGGCCTACAGGATCCTTGGCGGTTGACGGTGGATTCTCAGATCGGCAGCCATGAAGGCAGGAGCAGATGGCATGACCTGCTGCACCCTCGGTTACTACTCAATTCCACGTGGAGTTCTGCCCATGCAAGGATGACTTGCAAATGATCCAGGCAGTCGGGTTTTGACTTGGTGAATAATTAGCATTCTGGTTTACACCAGTCATTTCCAAGTTCAGTTACTATGAATCGGTTTCCCCACAGCTAACACACTTCAGGGTATACAGACAAAATTTCTGGATCTCCAAATGAGGGAACCCAGTCTTGTCTCTTAGTAACTTACAGAGAGGTAAATGTTTCTCCCCTGCCCCATCCTCTCCGTTCCTTCCTTGCTCCTCCTCCTTGTCCCAAGGAGCAGAAGGTAGAATTCAATCAGAATCAGGGATGCTGATGTGGCACTGGTTATTCCAGGGTTGGGTCACTGTGTGCAAAGGCCACCTTGAGGTGGCCCTCCTGGGGGGCGCCCACCTGCTTCCTTTGTCCATGAAGAACCTGTGTCCCTGGCACATCCTCATTCCAGCCTGTGCTCACTAGCCCTGAATTATGACACTCATTCTAACACACAAGGTCCCCAGAGCTGGGCTTCAGAGGGAGAGAAGAAACCAGGCTTCACTTGAGCTGAAACCATTCTCTTAGTTCAGCTCCGAGTGACGATGGTGGGCATCCATGAAGCTCCTGGAACACGGCACAGAATCCCACAGCACACGCTGTTCTTTTTGGAAGATGCTGGTTGGAGAGAGAGAGTGTGGCAGGCAGGCTGGGAAGTTTGGTCAAACATGTTCATTCCTGGGTTGCTGGCCACAATACCTGCCCTGACTCTTAGCAGATCCACTGAGGAATTCCCTCCTATGGGATGAGAAGCACCAGGAGCCAGACTCCCGCAGCTGTGCTGGGGGACCAACCTGGCCTTGCTTTACGTGACCATCAGTGGCCCCACATGATGGAAGCCCCACCTAGCCAGCACACTGAGTGAGAACCTGGCCTTTCTTTTTTAATAACACAGTGACATCATGATGTGACCGAAATGATCCTAGATATTAAATAATTTCAATGATATGAAATCCTGGATCCAAATACTTAATGCTTCATTTTCTTGTGTTATTTTAGGCTCTTCAGACCAAAATGAATACTCTTAGTCTCAGCATTATTTACATACTGGACTACAGGGGACTGGCCTGCAATATAGAGGACAGTTAATGTTATTCTAGCTTCTACCTACCACCTGCCCATAACATTGTCTGCAAAAAAGAATCCAAACATCTTCAAACATGGTTAAACACTCCCCTTGAGGGTAGAATTGTCCTTGGTTGAGATCAGAGACTGTGGATTGACACAGATACTACATTTGAAGACTAGGTTTAAGCAGCTAGGACAGTGCTCAGACCTCTTCAGTGGCCTTTTATCAGGCTGTCTTTTATTTTGTATATGTAGTCTCCCCCTGTTTATTTATTCAGGAATTCCAGATGTTGCAGGACAAGGTCCTGGGGGGACCGATGTGTACAAACTAGCACCTCTCTGATTGGTGGGCCCCGGTGGGCTTTCTGTCTGGTTCATTTTCCTAATAAGCAGGGAGTTGAGTTACAACAGGCTTCAAGTCTCTGGAAGACACTTGGGGCCCTAAATCTAGCAGGAGGCTCAGACTGGTTTCAAGACTCCCCTTCTTCAGAGCTGTGTTCCCCTGTGGTCTTCAGGGCCATGAGCACCCAACCATCAACAGTCAATAAGAGCCAGCTCACCTCTGTGAATGTGTGCCAGGGACAGTGAGGTGACATGGTGCATACAGGAGTTCCAGGCGCTGAAGAACTCCTCCTGCTTGGTTACCACCTGTCAGATAATGGGAGAGAATATCCATGAATAATATTTGGAGAAAAGCAAACTTGAAAATTTACTTTTTCTTTTATTGTCTTGCTTTTGGGGGGCTGTGTGGTGTCTGAGAGAGAGGGAAGTACTGAGGCCTCTCACATACTAGCCAAGCACTCTACCATGGACTGAACGACACCACCCAACAGTACCCTCTTCTTACTTTATATCCTGAGACAGAACTTCACTGCATTGTCTATGATGGGCTTGAACTGGTGATCCTCCTGCCCCAGCCTCCCAAGTACCTAAGGCTTATAGGCCTTTGCCAACTAGCCCAGCAAATACCCCAACTGTCAATACAGCATAAGCATGGGCATTGTGAAATCACTGAGGGGCTGGCCGCATGACCTGTGACAGCAACTTGTGAGCGAAGCAAATGTCCTGATGGTGTCCCGAGAGTCATGTGCGTGCATGTGTGTGTGTGTGTGTGTGTGTGTGTGTGTGTGTGTGTGTGTGTGCGTGTGTGCACGCGTGTGCATGCGTGTGCCTGTATGTTAAGTCTTCACGCATCAGGCATGGTGTCTAGTTATACCTGATACTCAGGAGGCAACATATGTACAAGGAACAATTTGAGGTGAGCCTGGTGGTGCAGGCCTGTAATCTCAGTTGCTTGGGAGGCTGAGGCAGGGGGATTGGCCAACCTCAGAACTTAGTAAGAAGACCCTGTCTCAAAACAAACAAACAAATGAAATAGGACAGGTAGGGTGGCCTAGTGGTGGAGCACTTGCTTGGTATGCGTGAGGGTCAACCCTCAGCACCACAAAACAAAAACAGAAATAATGTGAGTGACCCAGGCACATGCCCAAACACAGTGAGACTGTTTGCATAGGATTATTCACTTCCTGAAGAATTTTTAAAAAAATAATATTTGAATTAATTGAGAATTATAAACAATGTATTTAGTTCACATTTAACCTCCTTCTCTCCAACTCCTCCCCGGTTCACCCCCACTTCCACCTACCCAGCTTGATGTCTGTCTTTAAAAACCCATCCAGTCAAATCTGTGTTGCTCCAATTCTCTTGGGTGTAGGGTCACCCCCTGAAGTGTCATCCACCTACCAGGAGTCACCCCCCTGAAGAAAAACGCTCCCTCCCCCAGCTGCTATCAGTTGCCATAGCCCCTCAGCTGGGGTGGGACTTCCGGTCCACCTCCCCTCTCCATGCTGGGATCTTGTCTGGCTTGCACACCTTGTGCACCCTGTCACAACCACTGTGAGTACCCAAGTGCCCAGCTGTGTACAGAAAACACTGTTTCCTGGTGGTCACCCACCACCTGTCTCTGAGTCTTTTGTCTCCTCTCCTGCAACGATCCCAGAGATTTGGGAGTGGGGTAGGATACAGATGTGCCACTTGAAACTGACAATTCTTTTTATATCTAATATTTTTATTAAATCTTTGAGAATTTTCATACATATTTTGACCTGTCCTTGCCCTAGCCCCTCCCAGATTGACTAACACCTCCCCACCCCCAACTTTTTCATGCCCTCTTTTTTTAAAATAACTCACCAAGTCCAATTTGTACTGTCCATATGATCATGGGTGTGGGGTCACTCACTATAGTGTGCTCAACCTACCCAGAGCCGCCCCCCTTAAAGGCAACTGCAGACTCTCCCTCCCACAGAGGCCTACAGCTCCTCAGCCAGGCGTGGGGCTCCTGAGCCCCTCTCTCCTCCAGGCTGGAATATTGAGTGGTCTGATCACGAGCAGGTCTGGTGCAGGCAACCACAGCCCCTGGGAGTTCATGCAGTGGTTCTGCCATATGCAGAAGACACCAAGACACCGTTTCACTCCGGACCTCCCCACCTCTGCCCCTTCTTCAACCATGGGTCCCGAAACTTTGTGGGGACGGGGGCAGTGATGCAGATGTTCCATTTGTGGCTGAGCGCTCCACAGACATGTATCCTCTGAACTTTGACCAGTTGTGAGTTTCTATGTTAGACACCAGCCACTATCTGAAGAAACTTCTCTGATGACGTACGATAGGTGCACTCGTCTATAGGTTCAGATATGAACTTAGGGGACAGTTTAATACCATGTCCACTTAGCAAAGTAATAGTAGTAGGTCCAGTCATGGGTGACAAACTCTCTATTTAGATATAACACTCAGTGTGAGCTGCTCTCTCCCTCTTTGTTTCCGCTGTCCTCAGGGGCTTCCTTTTGCTGTCAGGGGCTTCCTGCAGGTCTGTAACATCTCACAAATTGGTGTCTAGTGGTCTCTGTGTCTGATCCATGTGAGAAACGAACAGAATCATGGAAACAGGAACCGCAGCCCGTCTGTGTGCGTTACTTCACTGGGACCTACTAAGTAACATCATTCACATGAGTCACCTTGTGGCTCCTCTGTGTGTGGAGCCTGGGGCACATCTTATCTAACCAAAGAAGAGAGTTAAATTTGGCACGGCTGACCTTTTCTTTCTTCCTCCTTCTCTTTCTTTGTTTCAAAAACTGAATGATTTGATATTAAACTTTCAGTGATTGTGTGTGTGTTCTCAAGGAACCAAGACTCAAATAGAAAGTTACACTTGATGTATCTACTTCCCATGTGTGTCACACACACCACCCCACACACACCCCCCCTCCAAGCCGACAGGCCTCTCCGTTGGAAAGTAACCAGCTTTGTGGCAGCTTTGCCCCTGCAGGGCCCGGAGCTCTCACTGTCTGCTGCCTCCTCTAACGGGGCTTTGTGGGCTTGTGGAAAAACAGCTCCGCACGAAGTCTCGGCCATGTATAATTCAATATGAGGACCCGGGGCGGTGGGTGCAGGCAGGAGAGTCGTGTCACATGACCCTCCAGCTCCACCTCTAACAGGGCGTCACATGACAGTGAAGGGACAGACAGTGTCAGCGTGGATGCTCCCTGTCCTGGTGTCACTAGTCTAACGGACAAGGCCGGGCAGAGCACGCTGTGGAACACTCACGGAAATTCTGGAAGTTCCCAAAGAAAGTCTGGAAACACCACGCACCCATCATCTTACCGGATACTGCCAGGGTTAGGCTCTCCTGAAAAGCCCACGGGAGGGAGGCAGTGGGAAGGACGGCCCACTGTGCAAATGGTCCAAGCAGAATTGAGGGCACTTTTTAAAAGCAGTATGACGCGGGGACTAAGTTTTTCACCAGCCTGACCAACAGAAAAACAGGGACACATATCTGACTGGAAAGCCCCTGGAGGCCTCTTCGCGTCCTCAAAGAGCCCAAGAAAGAGGGAAAAGACAATGCAAGGGTCCCAGTGGGCTCCTGGATCTTTTCCCTATATGCTGGCATCAGCTCGGAGAACGTCACTGCCCACCAGTGTAACACCTTGTCTGGCAATGCAGGGAAATCCAAAGAGTATTTACCACGTGAGCAATGTTACACAACATAGGAAATCAACCCTCCTGCCTAAGCATCTTTGTGGGAGGTTTCAGTCAAAAAGACTTTTAAAGTGACAGTTATCCTTCATCTGAGGCAGTAAACGGCTCCTGAAAACCTGTGTTTAGACTAGATGCATCCAAACGGAGTCCTTAAAATGTGCCAGGCAACAGGACTGCTTTAAGCATTTAATTTTATTTGTTCACTTATTTACTCTTCAGAAGACTGCAGGTATTTGCCGATATTTTCATTTCATGGGCAGAAGAAGATGGTGAGCCAGAGAGGCTGAACAATTTGCCTCACGTTGTGGAGTGGAGTTGAAACTGGGCACACAGACTTCTCCACTGCCTCCCAACGGGCCTAGGAAATGCACCTGAAGCCCTGCCCTTCCCACTTGTACTGCTCGTGCCACCACAGGGGACAACATGCCTGTAAGCAGCAGCCTATCCTCCACGTGCCTAATGAAAAGACACATTCATAGCACAACCAAAGGACAGAGCTGAAGACGCAGAGAAACACCTTCCTTGTGGTGGATGATCATACCTGTTCCCCTTCCATTTCTACAAGATGGCCTCAAATGGGTTTCAGCAGCATTATCGTCAGTTAGAAACAATTCCTTATATAGGACCCATAATAAAATACCCTCAGCTAACCTCACACTTGATGGTGAAAGAATAAATGTTTTCCCCTCCAGAAAGGACAACCAAGCTGTCCGCCATCACCGTTCTCCTTCACGGGGTGCTAGAGGAGCTAGCCAGGGCAATAAGGCAAGAAAAAGAAATGAAAGGAATAAGTAAAACCCTCTATACTAAAAAAAAAAAAAAAAAAAAAAAAAAAAAAAAAATACATGCTTGTCTCTAAAGAAAATGCCAAAGAATATATAATTAAGGTTCTAGATCTTATAAGTGAATTAAGCAAAATAACAAGGTATGCGAGTAATACTTTGAAAGTTAACCCTGTGTCTATATTCTAGCAGTGACCAATCAAAAATGTGAAATGAAAAGCCCATTATGGAGTTGGAGAGTCAGCTCAGTTGTTAAGAGGACTTGCTGCTCTCTCAGGGGATCCAAATTCGGATCTCTGTACCCACACTGGGAAGCTCACTACTGCCTGTTAACTCCAGCTCCAGGAGATCCAGGGCCCTCTGCTGGCCTCCACAGGCACTGCATGTGTGTGGTGTACACACAGGCACATATACATAAATAAAAATAAAATAAATCTTTGTAAAAAATATAGTAACATCAGAAACATGAAATATTTACAAAACATGTAAAATCTATACATGAAAACAAAAAATATTGCATAGGGAAATTTGCCAAGACCCCTAAATGAAAGGAGGAGCCGCTGTGTCCACAGATGGGAAACCCTAATTCTGCTACAATGTCACTTCTCATCCTGATCTGCAGCGTCAACCCACGCCCACCAAAATTCCAGCAGACTTTCAGCTTTGACAGGAATTTGTGAGATGGCTACAAAAGCTACAAGGCCAACAGAAGACCTAGAATAGTCAAAGGCAAATTTGAGAAAGAAAAACCTTGGAAGACTCACGTGATCGGATTTAAAGACTTTGATAAAGCTATAGTAAACACAGCGGTGTGTAGTTGGGATAACGACAGA